CACACACACCGGGGTATACCCCCCTTTGCGGGATCCCGAATGATCTACGGTTGGGAATTTTTGCCTGGCGTGCCGCAGCGGCGGCCCCAGCAACACGCTGTGCCGTGCGACGCGCGTTCGCGTGTCGCGCTACTCCGCGGAGCGGGCGCGGCTCGGGGAACCGCTCGGGACGCCGACGCTTGGAGATGTAGGGGGCTTGGATGGCGTGTCGCGCTTAAGCGTGGTGGGCCAGCACCGGTGGAGCGACACACTCAGCCAAAATTATGGGCGTGCTTTTAAACAAAACCCATAATACAAAAAAACAAAAAAAAAAAAAAAAAAAAAAAAAAAAAAAATTCCCGACCAGTTCCCCGGGCCTGCTTTCCATCCTGCCATCCTGGGACCGTTCTTCCTGGCGGCCCCGGGGCCAGGCGACGGCCCCCCGACGCCAAAGATCACCAAACAGCCTACCGCCGCGATGTTGCTCCAAGACGCGAGGGGGCCTGTGGAGCAGGAGCAGCAGCGGCAGCGGCAGGGGCACTCCACGAGCAGCAGCTGAAGATTGGTTTGGTTCTTCTATGATAGTAAACAAACGCGTTCTCGTTCTCGCAGAAGTAGCTACTCGCAAATGGCCTGGGTTCGCCGCGGGGGGAATTACGATCCACTACATCGAGGCAAACATGTGTTTGTTTTGATGTTTGCGTGCGGGCACTTTGCGAGTAGTGCAACGCGCTCGGTGAGAATATCCAGGCTACCGCTGGAAGGGGGGCAGGGGAGGTGCTGGCCGATAGCCTGACCCTTTCGCCGTGAGCAACCCCACGTGCCCGCGCGCACTGGTACTGCGCACCCCCCCTCGGAACTGCGCAAGCGACAAGGTCAGGTCATCCGAAGGGGGAGGGGGGGGACGGGCAGGCCCGATAAACGGGCCTAGCAGCAGCACGGGCGCGAAACGGGGCGGGGAGCGAGACGACAAAGGGAGCAGCAGCAGGAGCCGCAGCAGGCACGGCGGAGGGGGGTTTCAGAGCTTCGGGAGGCTGCGAACGGTGTGCCCACGACGGCTGCTGCTCATAGAGAGGCCAGCGGCGGCATGGGCGATGAAGACAGTCAAGGCCCGCCCAGGGCGGGCCCTGATCTTCTCCATCGCCCATCTCTTAGGAGCAGGGGAAGACGCTCTCCTCCGGCGCCATAATGTTTTTCGCAGCGCGAGCTCCTGTGATCTCGACCTCCCCGGGGGGCTGGCTTTTCATCCTGAGTTTCTTCTTTTTCTTCTTCACGCCCCTGGGGTCAGGAAACGGCTTCCCAAGGTCGGAAACATGAAAATAACGTGCCAGGGCGATTGTTTGTTACGCCTCGACCTCTGGGGAAGGAGGAGGCGGAGGAGGAGGAGGAGAAAGCCTTGGCAACTGGTGAATCCTCTGCTCCAGAGACGGGGGCCCGACTCGATTGTCTTGCGAACTCGGTATCTGCTGGCGGCGTTCTCGGCATTGCAGGGGGTCAGCCTACGGGTCCCTGGCTTAGTTGAGCGCCGAGCGCTGCAGCTCGGTGCCGAACCCCGTGAAAACAAAATATTTACGGGACGGAAGAGGCTTATGGCACTATGGTCCATCACCTCCCTCTCGGGGCAACGGCTTAAACTTGCTGACTAGCCGCGCAACCGAAAATCGTCTAAAGCGTTTGCAGTCAGCATCGCCCCCCCCCCCCTCCCCAACCCTCCCCCCCGTCCCCACGGCGTCGCACTAAGGCTCGGCACTCAAGCGCGCGCAACGCGTGCAAGCTTTGCACCAGGCTTATCTACGGACCTCAGAAACAAGCTCCAAGAGCCCAGATGCCACCACTTCGAGAAACTGGCCCCAAGCCGCTCCTCCAAAAGGCTCCCAGTGTCAAGGGACCAAGGCGATTCAGCAGGGGAAGCGACGAGTGCGGCAGGCGAGGGCCCGAGGCGAAAGCCTCAATCTATACAAGGCTCCAACTCAGGCCTTCTGAGTCGCACCAGATTGTCGCGTTTTCCTCTGCCTTCTTAGGGTCCGCCTGGCCAATTGGCCGAGTGACGGGCACATATGGACGGGAAAAGTGCACCTGCACCGTGCGTGCATGGAGGATGGCAGCCAAATGCTGTCAACGTGGGAACTCGAACAGGGCCGCTCACAATTGTTGGCCCAGTCGGGCAAGTAGCGCACGGGCTATGTCACTGCCGCGTCTGGCCATATCTCTGAACCCACTCACATGTATTGTCCCATGGCCTGCCTCGCTCGCAGTGCCGCTTGAAGCTGCCTCTCCAGGTGCTGACGGGGGCGGGGCTCCGAAGATCTGCTCGGCCTTGAGCTGCTTGGGAGCGCGGCATGTCGCTGCCCTGGGGTCCTGCACTGTGTAGCTGCCGAACGTGATTGGCGTCTCGGTGTTGCCCTAGCGGATCGCGTTGATCTGCTCCCCCCACCTCTGTTGCCACGACGTGGCGCTCAGCGCGTTGAACATGATGTGAAGATTCCACTTCGTGGCCTGTCCTGGCTCTGAGTAGGCCTTCTTCGTCCGAAAGTACGATAGGACGCCCGCGAAGCCGCTCATCGGCAAGACCTCGATGAGCTGGCCGAACTCCTCGAGGATCCTCTTCGTGTCGCCCTCCAGCTGCCCCCGCTTCGCCATCGCCAGAGAGCGCTCCACTCCTATGCGAAGTCGCGGCGATCCCATGGCCTTGCTGCCCTTGGCCTTGACCTCTTCTGCGTAGGTGGCTCCTCCCGCGGCCGCTGCGTCCACTGGCTCGTTGTCGCCCTCGACCAGGAAGAAGTCCCACAGGCTGCCGGGCATCATGCGCATCATCTGCGCTGTGTTCAGCGTGAGCTTCTGCATGAGAGTTGTCTCCTCGTGTGGGGCGCCCTCGCCAGGGGCCACGCGAGCTGCCAGCGCCTTTCTGGCCTCCACGCTGCTGCTTGGGTGCTGGTGCGACCGCTCCCGATACTGCCTCCATCGTCTCGCCGCGCGGTCTGGCGCCTTTGTCGGCGCCTGCCCTCCACGCCATCGTTCGGGCCTGGAGCGTGACAAGTAACGTGTAGCAAATGATCATTAAGCTCGGTGTCTTCGCGGCTGCAGGATCCACACTGGCAGAAACTTGCCTCTCTTCTGGCTTAAAATCAAACGAAGCGGCTCTGGTCGGGCAGCAGAGGGGTTGGGATCTGGACATGGTGAGCACGTGCCTCGGAC